TTAAAAATCGTCCGGTTTAATCTCTGGATAGCAAGCCAGATGTCAAACCACGACAGTGGTCGAAACTTCGAGACGACTCCTCTGGTTACTTGAACTATTAAGAATTAGGGCAGGTATATAGAAGTACAAAATATGAATGCATGGAGGATTATTTTTTCCGAGAAAAGATTCAGGGCATTTAAGCGGCCTACAGTAAATAAGCTTCACCGTAGTTAAGATAAGGATTGATAAAGGAATCCTTTAGGAATTGCGAGCTCACAGGATTATATTTGCATCAGATAAGTGATATCGTGAAATTTCACCTCATTGGAGCGTTCAGATCTCCCTTTTCACTCTTTTTTACATGTGACCATTTCAAAAGATGCCTCTATAATCAGTGGCCTTACCCTTCAGTTGATTTTATTATCCAAACTATTGTTCACGTAATAGAATTTTAATTACCCGTAATAAAAAACATCCAGCAGGAACCACAAAACGAATTATTTTCGGGGCGCATGGGAATTTTTCCTACAACTGGGAGAAGGCACAGTTTCATGTCAAACAGAAGAAAGTAACGGACGATTGCTATTAACTAGCAGTTATATAATTTTAACTTCTCTAAAGTTGTGTTTGGCCAAGTTATATATTATGCACCTAATCTGGGGGACTCGGGTCATATGCTTTCACTTTTGCAACAACATTTCAGAATTGGTTGTCTTTTCTATCGTTGCGATTTCTCTCTTCCCAGATTACCAGACTATTTATTGTTGAATGGTCAAAGTAAGTAGTAGCCGTCAGAAATTAACTGTAGATTAGAGTTTACTAAAACCCTATGAATGAGCCTTCAATGGATGGCGTCCTAACAAGGAAACGCATCTCAGAGGCCAGAAGAGAGGAGGTCAAAAGCAAACCTCGAGTTAAGAATATCCGTGGATAACCGATGACATACAGAAACGTGCTTCCAGTAAAAGTAGAAGGAAACTTTTGAGTATTTTCAGAAAAACACTTCGGATTCAGGAAATCTGAAGCGTAACTGGATGATTTTACTTTAATTTGCAGCTTTTATAAACCAATAGCTGAATTTCAACAGCAACGCGCAGGCATGCATGCGCCTCTTTCGGTGCGAAGGCAAGCTGGCTGGCCAACCGGCCCAGCTATGTATATATTCACACCAGTACTGCTCATCTTGGAGGCCCACCGATCCGTATAACCTGATGCTGGCGGGCTTTACCTGAAAATTGCTAGAATGCCAACTTCTCCGGCATCATACAGGATTGCTGATACGTAGAAGAAGGCAGCGAACTGGAAGAAGACGATTGAGTTGGCCATGGAGTGAACACTCGCAAAGAGGCCCGAGCCTACGTATAGCTCTCTGAAAGATATGGCAAATGTCAAACTCAGAATGGAAAGGGCCACAAAAAGGTGTCAAACATTTCATCGTACAAATCAAGATTATATTTATACAATTGCAAAACAGAAGCTTTCTCATTTCATCCATGTAAACTTTTAAACCGATGCAGGTAATGAATTAAATTCATATTTATTTTTGCGCAAGAACAGGTACCAGTGAAAAGTTCAGGTACTTAGTAAATAAAATTAGAATGTCAGCTCTTTTTCATCGAAATAAATGAAGATTAATCGCGCTGCTTCCAAAACATAGTTGGAGTTTTTGTTTTCCTGAAGTGTGTTCTGCAGCGGCTAGACCCATGCTTTGCCAGTTTCAGGAGAGCAGATGCATCACATTCTATTTGCCAATACCTGGATGAAATTTCGTTTTATATTTAGGGAAACACAACTGTATAAATTAATGTATAATCTCGTCCAGGTTTTCTCTCAGCATGCCCTGCGTTGGATAGATCTCTCCTCTTGCCTGTGCAGAAGGATATCAAGGAACGCAATTTTTAAATCCACCTCAAACACTGTACAAAATGTGAGCGAAGGATGCATACTTGACCACGGCATCTGTTTCGGTGGTATGATCTGTCAGCCAGATCGTAAAACTCGAGGTTGTTGATGGTGTCCTTTAGACTCGTTGCAGAGAAACTGGACATTTTATGTGTCCCCGCAAGTATTTGATTAAGGATTTTCACGTACATATCTATCTGTTATTTTGTGGCCCGAATAACGTCACAGAGGTAGTTTATTGTTTCGGCCACAGACATCTTAGTAAGCAGTGGTGCTACAGCTAACAAGAGCATCCTGCGTCCATCAGCATCAATATACTTTAGATCATGGACTAACTCAAAGTTGTCTCTCATATGTTGGGGGTAAAGATAACCCTCAAATGGCGTAAGTTCAAAATGTTAACCATAAAAAACTTATGAAATCTTTTACCCTCTTCTATTCCTATTATCTATGTAACTACATAGGCCTGATGAGGACTTGCCCAAACAGTTGTTTGCCGATATTTAATATGGGATTAGCATCGGTCAACTGTATTTTCTATAATAGAATCTGTTTATTCAAGTAAAAGCCCTGTGCCCTGTTTTATTGGTTTAAATGCGCTGACTTTATGATAATGAAACCTATCAGAAAGTCGAATGGGTCTTCTTACTTGGCAGTCGGAGCGGAGGCCTCCTTGAACTTCTCGTACATGTAGGGTTGGAGTCCGAGGCTAACGACAGTGCGGTTTGCAGAAAAGGCTTCCTGTGCGATGTCTGCTCCCTTACAAGCATTCTGACCTGCACCCCTGTTCATCTGTCTCATCTTATATTAAGAAAAAAAAACAGTACTAAGGAAAACTGCAGTTGCCAACAGCAAAGATGTAAACGGCTTAATATGAATCGTCTACTGAGATCATAAGAAACAATAGCCAATAATACACGTTTTATTGAGCAAAACAACCTAACCTACGTATATGATATCAAAGTCACATCCTAAGAGAATTCCAACTATTGTCTCAACTCAACTTCCAACCTGAACTGTCGCATAGAATTGGCTAGATCTAACGAATACTCATTAAATTTCGTTAGCAACCACTGCACGTAATGGGACAGGATGGCCCATAGAATTAAAGGCCATCTCACGGCAAAGGGTAGATCTGAGTCCTTCGTTAAACCGATGGGGCACCGATGTTTCTGAAATTTCCTCAAAACCCGATTTAACACTTAATTTTAAAATGGTGAGACAAAATAGTCCAGACACCTAGGGCAAGGGTACAATCCGTCGTCCACCGGCTAAATTATGATTGTAGCGAGTTTTAAGAAGCAGGAGTGAGAGGACCTGCCAATTGCGGTCGAGGTTACCAACGTGCTAGCTATCGCTGTGAATACTGCGCCGGACCTCGTAGGTGACATGAAATGCTATATTACCTGGCTTTGAATTTTTCCTGACACTGGTCGAACTCGCAGCTCCCGGTTATAGCAACTCCAATATAGCAACTGGCATATACAGCTATTGCAAGCTTATAAGACGACAGCTTGTCGGACGAAAGCCTCATAAGTGGGCCGTGTGCGAGCCCCAAAGCCTCTTGGACAATCGGGTCGACGCCGATGCAATCTGATGCATGCAACAGCGTTTTCCGCTTATTTCTACCTCATATTCTGCTGCAATTTCTTCCTTTGTAATACATCTTTAAACCTACTTATCAATAGAGTTATTGAGTTATCAAAGAAATGTTAGCCTAAATTCGGAAAGTTCTTTATGTAGATTCAAAAGAATTTCCTAGAGGTTGTAAAATTTATAATTGTGCGGCATTATCTCAAGATACTGCCATTATGCCAGGAAGTCGGCATTCGAGTGAAAGTATTTCCAGTCGCCCGTACAAGCCAAAATGGGCAAAAATACTACTTAAATAGAATGGAGTTTTCTCATTAATTTTCACAGCCTCTGTTAATTAAAATACATTTTATAAAAATTAACTTTTGTAAAGTATTGGTTTTGTACTTGTTCAGCTGCAAATAACTTTTTCTCTAATTTTTTTATACTTGAGGAAAGGACATCTTTCAGGTGTTGAAAAACTTTTCAGTTACCGATTTGCTTAAGTTCGGCGATGATACCCATGTAAGCATTCAGGAAGTCAAGTTAGACGAACGAACTTTTTCGATTATTTCATCATCAAATAATGGCAACATGGACGGACGAGTGCGTCCCCTATCAAATCGGTGTACGCGTATCTGCTACTTTTTATCCTCGATCTAATACCGATAAGACTGCATGCTCGATAGCTCAATGGTTAACGCGTTCGCCTCTGACTGGAGACACGCGAGCTCGAAACTTGAGTGTGGCAGCAATTTCCGCAGCAAAACTGGAGTTGGGTATCACTACCTGATGACGGAAAAATAAGTCAGAAATGGCCATTGTAGTGTCTCATGTTTTTGCTGGTAATATCCTTCTGCCTATATCCTAGCCGCCTCGCGGTGAAGGCTCGAGAGAGAGAGCTCTAATGGCCACATGGACGGACGAGTGGGTCCTCTGACAAATCGGTGTACGCTTATCAGCTACTATATTACCCGATAAATCATATTGACGGCACGGTCCTAGACGCAAACCTAGACTTACTCTATCATTTTGAGCATCTTTGTATTATTCCTAAACGCAGACAAGGCAGCCGATTGTCAGAGGACACCCCTCTACTAACGTAAAGGACACCATCGAACTCTCTTCGGTTTGGATTTATCACTGGAGCTCCGTCTATAACGTGCTAACTACCCTCTAATCCGATTAGTTACTTTTGCACGTAGAAATGGATCACGGTACGGCACGGATGGTCCAGCACCGAGAGCGCATGAATAATAACAGCTGAAAACACATCCTTTCTCATACAGGTCATCGAGCATAATCTGGCATGATATAAGCTAACATGAGCTTGCGTAATAACTGCACCAAATTTGATTTTAACGTGGCATTCAAAAGTATTTACATAATCTCAAAACAGAAGCTTAGTAATTTCACCCACGTATACTTTCAGCTCAATTCAAGCAACGAATTAAATTCATAACCATTTTTGCGCAAGAACAGCTACCAACGAACAACAACGAACAACGATCAACAAATTATTCCACTGTTCTGCCAGTGTTTTACCAATCTCCGTTTTATGTATTTGACTGTTTGTTATTGATAAACCCTTATACTGCTAGATAAGGACGTGCGTTAGTATGCACAAAATCAGGCATTATGGAATCATTTCATGGCTTACAACTGATACATACTTTCAACCGCTCAAAAAACTGCAAAGGCGAAGGCGAAGTACTGTTGTTCCAAAACTTTCAACCTGAGAATGTTCTTAACTAGAAGCTTTTTGCTCAGGTGTCAACCATCAGAACATGTTGATATGAAAAAAGAATTCTACTTATGTTATTATTAT